AGGAGTAATCATAAAAAACATTTAGGAGCGGCTTCTAAACTGTTATTGATTAAAAATAATGATTAGTGTATAAAATACATTAAAGGCAGTATTTTAAATATCCGTGTTTTACCTATCATATTCCACTTTATCCATCCATGCTAATTATATTATTCCAATAATAATGCCCTCAATGACGTCCGTGGATTTTGCATTCGCATTTGTTTGCGATTTTTTCTGTGTGCGCATTTTTCTGTGCGCAGTACAGTGAGGTAAAAACAGTTTTGCAATTTTGTCTATATTCCGTAAGTGTGTGTGTGTGTTTGTGTGTGTGTGGATGTGTGCCTGAGTGTCTGTGAACACGATAACTTGATTACCGTTACAGCTGGGTTGATGAAATTTCATATATAGTTATTATATCAAATTTGTCGTTATGTATCAACTTAACAGCGAGTTTCGGTAAACGGAAGTGGATTTTTTATTTATTTTTTTTTTTGAAATTTCACTATTAAGTAAAAGATCGAATTGTCTGCCTTCTTCCAAATGTTGAGTAATTTTAGTTTACCAGAATTAGTACTTTACCCTATTTCTAATGTCTAAATGTATATTAATGTATAAAGAACTAATGTTCCGCAGTATTAATCACACATTGTTTGCTGTTCACTTCGCGCGCAATTCTTTTTTCTACGTGATTCTTTTCTATTTCAAAAAGTTTAAGTAATTAAAAAATGATTAAAAATTATGTCTATATCCCGAGTTGCCATCCCCGTAGTGTTGTATTTCGAGAGAGTTTAGGGGAGATCACTCCCGCTTTATTTCGGGAAGTAAACACGCGTATACAAATAACAATTTAGAAAAATGTAACGGTTGCTAATAATATTGTTTTGATATTCGTCCTGTTATTGTTATGTCGTGTGCAGCAAGATCCATTAAACTGGAACTTTCATTTCTTTTAATTTTGCTTGATTTTTTAAAATTTATAACGCAACGTTGGAAGAATGTGAGTTCGTATGAGCTCATAACTGAGGTAGGAGCTAGATAAAACTTAAAGAATTAACGAAATTCAAATAACACATAAAAAAGCTGAACTGTAACATACGTTTGGTAAGTTACTGCTTGTGTTAAAATGAGAAATCTAAGTTTGTACTTTAAATATCCATAGTTTACTTGTGTACTTCGTTACCCATAGTTCGTCTTGATGATAACATTTGCATGAAGAGAAAAAAAAAATCTTAGATATAAATCGAACTCTGACAGTAACACTACGCCAATACCGGAAGTCATCGGGACTAAAATGGCGACAGTCTGTAAACATTCAATTATCTCGGCATTGACCCACAATGTCTTCCCTAAGTCGTAACTTCACGTTTAGATGGTCAAGTGTTTTATCCGATTTTTGTCAAGGTTTTTGTTGGTTTTGACATATTTTTGTTCAGGCTGTTTGTATCGGGTACTTTTTTCAAGTATTTTAGCAATTTTCTTCCCATCCAATCTTATTGAGTGGACATTGTTCTTATCGGTGCCATCGGTATGGAACTTTAACATTCAGCAGCTTAGATGTTAGATGATGACATTGTTACACGACAGAGTAAGGTCACTCGCACTGATGAAATTGTATACGTTGTATTAACACATATACAGGTGTACGTATAGCAACGTATTGTACACTTGTACGCTGTAGCAACATATTGTACACTTGTACGCTGTAGCAACATATTGTACACATTACGCTGTAGCAACATATTGTACACTTGTACGCTGTAGCAACATATTGTACACTTGTACGCTGTAGCAACATATTGTACACTTGTACGCTGTAGCAACATATTGTACACTTGTACGCTGTAGCAACATATTGTACACTTGTACGCTGTAGCAACATATTGTACACTTGTACGCTGTAGCAACATATTGTACACTTGTACGCTGTAGCAACATATTGTACACTTGTACGCTGTAGCAACATATTGTACACTTGTACGCTGTAGCAACATATTTTACACTTGTACGCTGTAGCAACATATTGTACATATGTACGCTGTAGCAACATATTGTACACTTGTACGCTGTAGCAACATATTGTACACATTACGCTGTAGCAACGTATTGTAACACATGTACGCTGTAGCAGCGTATTTTATAAATGCACGCTATCCACCAATAGGATGCTGACTGAGGATTTATGCTGTTAAAATTCTCATTGAGAAGAAACAAGGAAGAAATAAGGTAGACTACACCTTCATTTGTTGATAAATATCAACTTTTTTGATTTGTATTTTGAGAAGACAGGACAATCAATATGCACAAACACTAAAAAAAAATACACCTAGATTTTTCGCACATTTTTTATTTATAATAACAAAGTGCACAATGACTTTGGCTGAACATTTTTCTTCGAAAAATGTGCTGAAATCACACTATTTGATATCATGAAATCACACTATTTGATGTGGTGAAATCACACTATTTGATGTGGTGAAATCACACTATTTGATATCATGAAATCACACTATTTGATATCATGAAATCACACTATTTGATATCATGAAATCACACTATTTGATATCATGAAATCACATTATTTGATGTGGTGAAATCACATTATTTGATGTGGTGAAATCACACTATTTGATATCATGAAATCACACTATTTGATATCATGAAATCACACTATTGATGTGTGAAATCACACTGTTTTATGTGGTGAAATCACACTATTTGATATCATGAAATCACATTATTTGATGTGGTGAAATCACACTGTTTTATGTGGTGAAATCACACTATTTGATATCATGAAATCACACTATTTGATATCATGAAATCACACTATTGATGTGTGAAATCACACTGTTTTATGTGGTGAAATCACACTATTTGATATCATGAAATCACACTGTTTGATATCATGAAATCACAGTATTTGATATCATGAAAACACACAATTTGATATCATGAAGTCACACTATTAGATATCATGAAATCACACTCTTTGATATCATGAAAACACACAATTTGATATCATGAAATCACACTATTAGATATCATGAAATCACACTCTTTGATATCATGAAATCACACTCTTTGATATCATGAAATCACACTATTTGATATCATGAAATCACACTATTTGATATCATGAAAACACACAATTTGATATCATGAAATCACACTGTTTGATATCATGAAATCACACTATTTGATATCATTAAAACACACAATTTGATATCATGAAATCACACTATTAGATATCATGAAATCACACTATTTGATATCATGAAATCACAATATTTGATATCATGAAATCACACTATTTGATATCATGAAATCACAATATTTGATATCATGAAATCACACTATTTGATATCATGAAATCACACTGTTTTATGTGGTGAAATCACACTGTTTTATGTGGTGAAATCACACTATTTGATATCATGAAATCACACTGTTTGATATCATGAAATCACACTATTTGTTATCATGAAAACACACAATTTGATATCATGAAATCACACTCTTTGATATCATGAAATCACACTATTTGATATCATGAAATCACACTATTTGATATCATGAAATCACACTATTTGGTATCATGAAATCACACTATTTGATGTGTGAAATCACACTGTTTTATGTGGTGAAATCACACTGTTTTATGTGGTGAAATCACACTATTTGATATCATGAAATCACACTCTTTGATGTGTGAAATCACACTATTTGATGTGTGAAATCACACTCTTTGATATCATGAAAACACGCAATTTGATATCATGAAATCACACTATTTGATGTGGTGAGTTCAACATGTTATTCATGAACCAGAGACTTTTGTCTTACGATAGACATGCAGATTAAAAGAAAAAAAAATCGTATTTAAACCTTTAGATAATGTATGTATTAAAGATGAAATATGTTTAGATAATGTTTTTATTAGAGATTAAATATGTTTAGATAATGTGTGTATAAAAGATACAATATGTTTAGATAATGTGTGTATAAGATACGAAATATCAGCTCTACCTGAATGACATTGAACAAGCCGGAAGATTTTAAACAAGGCAGAACAAGAAAATGTTATTACCTTTGATAGTAGTATTAGAAATATCTGGATTATGAGTTGAAGCTATTGATTACGATATTAAAAATGTTCAAAAGATATCAGCTTCTATTGTTATATAAACCCAACCTACTGTCTCCTTGTTGAACCAACTAGAAATAGGAAGGTTAGTGTTAACATCTAAACCAAACAAATAAATGGTTAAGATTTAGGTTTAAACAAGGGAAAATGTAAATGGGCTGTTTAGATTAAATTATTCACTAAGAAAGAAGTAAATAGACAGTCGAAGTTAAGGTTTAGACAAAGGAAGATATAAATGGACATTTAATGTAGTTGGCCAATGTATAGGTTGCTAGATGGATTGTTTGATGTGGCCAATAGTTTCAGAGGGCCAAAGTTTGATATGGGCAAAAATGTTATGATATCAAATGTTTGATCTCCAAAGCCAAAATTTGTGATGGCCAAAATTTTTTGGAACCGCAGATAAAAGCAGCATTGGGCCTGCTGGTCTCATAAGCCTTGTGGCTGAGCTGACTGTACCAATCGGTGTGTTCAAATTACATTTGTACCAACCATTGTTTACTGAGCTGACTGTACCAATCGGTGTGTTCAAATTACATTTGTACCAACCATTGTTTACTGAGCTGACTGTACCAATCGGTGTGTTCAAATTACATTTGTACCAACCATTGTTTACTGAGCTGACTGTACCAATCGGTGTGTTCAAATTATATTTGTACCAACCATTGTTTACTGAGCTGACTGTACCAATCGCTGTGTTCAAATTACATTTGTACCAACCATTGTTTACTGAGCCGACTGTACCAATCGGTGTGTTCAAATTACATTTGTACCAACCATTGTTTACTGAGCTGACTGTACCAATCGGTGTGTTCAAATTACATTTGTACCAACCATTGTTTACTGAGCCGACTGTACCAATCGGTGTGTTCAAATTACATTTGTACCAACCATTGTTTACTGAGCTGACTGTACCAATCGGTGTGTTCAAATTACATTTGTACCAACCATTGTTTACATGAGAGAGAAAACACGCAGTAATGTTTGCATTGTTTGATTCACCAGAACTAAATGACATCGTGAACTGTGATCTAGCAGAGTCAGTTCACATTGAGTTGCTTATGAGTACCCGACACCAGCATTATATTTTAGACAGAGTTGACTTGACTCCTAACATGGTCAATATATTGTCGCTAATTTTTAACAACTTGGCTATTCAGTCAACAAATACATGTTTTAGTCAGACATCGGAAATAATGAGTCATTTATCAGACACATGTGTATAAAAACGAGTGTTATGTGTTTGTTATGTGAGTGTTATGTGTTTGTTATGTGAGTGTTATGTGTTTGTTTGCTGCCGTTTGACGTGTCTTGTTGACAGGCGACGATATTCATTATCTGACGTCATCAAACAGAATGATAGCAGGTTTCACTGTTTGTCCGGTTTGGTCTGCAGTAACTGTGACTCAGGCTGATGACCGTCCTTGACCTCTTTAGGTACTTCTTGGGACAAACCATGTGCAAAAAGATGTTACGGAACTTCCGTCCCAGGAGACAGTAGAAGAAAAAGTCGGCACTGGCGTTGATACAAAGCATGGTGTCGCTGGCTATCAATAAAAACTTAAACACCAAAGCGCTGTATTGCAGGTCAGAGATCTGGGTCAAGTTATAAATAGCTGGTATGAGGCAGCAGACGAAGAAACAAGCTGTGATTCCCAAGACAATCATAGTGAGTCCGTCTTCCTGGTCAGTCGCCCGGGGGGAGTGGGGCTGCAACAAAAATGGTGGGGTGTAAATGTAAGGTTAGAGGTGTTGTGGGGGGGGGGGGGGGCTGCAACAAAAATGGTGGGGTGTAAATGTAAGGTTAGAGGTGTTGTGGGGCCAGCCAGACTGACATGGTGTCATGTCCAACTATTGTATTAATATACAGTAGCAAAGTGAGGGGGGGGGGGGGGCTGACAGAGCAGCAGCCGAGGGCGGGTCCCACATTTTTTGCACTTAGCTTTGTAAACTTCACTTTAGGCTTAAATGTTATTTTTTCTAGAAGACTAATGCTTTTATGTTTGAAACAGAAGCTTTTTTCCTTTTTATTTCTAAATATCAAATATGTGCACACTCCCTAGTATAAATATAAGCTTTTACTTATATATGAAATTTCATTTATCTATCTGAAATAGTACTCAAGTTATAGACTTTTGAAAAATTCAAAGTAGGAAAAGTACCACTTCCGGTTATCGGAAATCGCTCAAAAGTTGATACGGATCTACGATTTTGATTAAATACTTATATATGAAATTTCATCAACCTAGCTGTAACGGTACTCAAGTTATCGTGTTTACACACGGACAGACAGACAGACACAAAGACACACAGACAGACACACAGACAAACGGACAAGATTGCAAAATTATGTTTTTCCGTATCAGTGAGGTGTGAAACGTCGAGATTTGTAAAAATTTCGATTTTTTTTTTTGCACGATTACAAGACTTTACTTCGTATATACGAAAAAGTAAAAAATGACCTGTTAGCCTAGTGGTAGGCCGCGGCTTGGAGTTAAAACCGTAGGTCGTCAATGAGTATTAAGGGGGAGGATGTTGAACGGGTTTACTTTCTATTGTTAACAGAAATAAAATAACTTTCCTATTGACTGTTTTGTTATCTTTACAATCAAAATGGATGTTTTAATGTTCAAATCATTAGCTTATTTTTCTAAGTTTACAAACAGAAAAATGTGAATGAACTGAACCCAGCCGCACAGTTCTGCAATGAGAACTGAATCTCTTATTGCTTCATGTCAGACAATGTTTATTGAAAGAGATCTCTCATTACAATAATAAAATGTATGTTGCTGCATTGAAATCAATGATTATAAAATAAACCAGACAGATTCAGTGCCTTAAATCATTTAGTTAAATCTGTTTAAATCCGGTTAAAGGGGTCAGGCATGAGTTAGGGTCAAAGAACAAGGAATCATTTAGTGTTGAAAGCCTTTAAATTGTGTGATGGGCATACTGGGATATTTTTTTGGGTTGTGCAGTGATAGACCATTTCGGACCATGAAAATGGCTAGTTAAGCACTGAAACGAGAAAAGGATGTTCTTTCAATATAATAATTCACTACTATTTAAATAACTGTAAAGAAAAGGGTTATGGGAGGTTATGGGATACATTTACTAAAATTTAAGTTAATGTAAAGCTAGAGAAATGACATGTTTAGTTAATGCAAAGCTAGAGAAATGGCATGTTTAGTTAATGTAAAGCTAGAGAAATGACATGTTTAGTTAATGTAAAGCTAGAGAAACGACATGTTTAGTTAATTTAAAGCTAGAGAAACGACATGTTTAGTTAAAAATGTAAAGCTAGAAAAATGGCATGTTTAGTTAATGTAAAGCTAGAGAAACGACATGTTTAGTTAATGTAAAGCTAGAGAAAT